CCCCCCCCCTTTAACCCCCCCCCCCCGCCCCCCGCGGCCGCGCTGCCTCTTCGCCGCCGCAGTTTCCAGGCGCCGCGGGCGGCAGAGGCGCCGGGCGGCTGCGACCTCGCTGCGTCCCCTTTCGGGCCGCCACTGAGGGTGGCCGCCGGCCCGCCACGCCTCGTTTCCTCGGGTCCGCCGCTGGCTTGGTGCCTCTCTCGGCGGCGGAGGCGAATCTGCGGGGCTTGTCCTACCGCTAGCGCAGTTTGGGCGGTTGTCAGGGAGAAACAAGATGGCGGCCGCAGCGACAGAGGAGGACACGGAGCTGCGGGACCTGCTGGTCCAGACGCTGGAGAGCAGCGGGGTGCTCAATAAGATTAAGGTGGGGTGAAGGAGAGCCTCTCGCCTGCGCACACCTCGCGGAGCGGGGAGGGGGGAGCGCTGGCCGGCGGCGGCTAACAGCCCCGCGGAGCGCGGGGGGGCGAGGCTTCACGGGCTTCGTCTCCTCTCGCTGCCGCTTCCAGCCGGTGTTCCCGGCTGGGGCCCTCTCTCGGCGTCACGGCCCAGCGGTGGCGCTTGCTTTCCCCGTGGTCCTCCCCGGCCGCTCGGCCTGGGGCTCGGCGAGGAGCCGGGTCCGGCGCCTGCCTTGCGCCGAAGAGCTGGTACGTGCTCGACGCGGAGCCGAGGGCCCGAGGCCCGACCGTCGCCTGAGGTCTGCCCGGCGGCCCCAGGAGTTGCAAGATCGCCCAGGAGGGGAGAGGGAGGGGAGCTCTGGGCCGCCTCAGGGCGCCCGGCTGTGCGGTTTCGCCCTCGTAGGTACCGTGTGGCCGCAAGAGCTCTCTTGCTGCTGCCAACCCCGCTGGAAACATTCAGCCGCCGGGTGGTGTGGGACAGGGTGGAGGCAGTTTCTCTCTGCTTCGATACGAAAAGCCCCTATTGAAAATTTCAAGCAGAGAGTCCTCGAGAGTCGCTGTTTAAACATTGTTCTTTTTGAGTGTGGGTTGCTTGGAGGCTTACTAAACCTGGGAACTCTGGGAATGCTGCCTGCCTACAGGGAATAAATAATACTATGTTAAGCAAATGTATGGAGGGTAGTGTTGTAGTGGAGCGTGCGCTGCTTCCAACCCTGTGGTGTAGCCTAAGCTTTTGTCAGAAAGGATATGAAAATTGGGTCCATGGATTCTTGTTCAAATTAGAAGCTTCCAGCAATAACTGTTGTGTGTAGCAGAGAGCCATACAGATACGGAAGCGTAAGAACTGCTGGATCCCCTTTCAAGCTAGGGGAGAAATGAAGTTTGGATTTCAGATCAAGGATGGTGGCATTTATCCACAGTGTTCTGTTTTAAGCATTCGAGAGGTGGATGATTATTGCTGATGTTTCAGGAACAGTTCAACAATTGAAGTGGTTAATGGAAATGGGGGCATCTTTGTGTGTGTGAGTCCACTGGATTTTGGGATAGTTGTCATACTTTTCAACAAAATAGTATTATTAAAAATGTGTTGTTCTTCTGTTTCAAATGGATAATCCTTATTTAAATTCTATAAGTAGATTAAGATTCTAGCTCATGTAACTGTATTTTGAATAGGGAGACCTTTTTTCTAGTTAAGTGTCAAATAGGCCTTTTAGGCCACCTGTTGACTTTTCAGGTAGTGTTAACCAGTAAAAATATGGTGATAATAAAATGATAATTAAAAAAAATCACAAGCCAGTTAGGTTATATTGAGCATGTGAGCTGTAGTTTCTTAATTCCTGCCTTTGTGTAGCATGCAAGTTTTTGTACTGTGGCTGTCACTTCATTGAGTTTTGTGTAAATATATTTATTGTAATTTTCACTATTCTATAGTGCTAAAAGTGTGTAGTATCTGATAGGGCATAAGGTATCCTTAAGGCAAACTAGCATATGACTTAGAAAAATACAACTGCATCCTACTTACTGGGTTATGACTTTAATACTAGGAGTTATTGTTTAATAATTGGTATGCTTATGGTTAAGGCTGCTCATTTGAGGAATTCATGGTGGTTTTTTTCTTAGCTGTAAACCTTAATTGGCGCGTGACTTTAATGGCTGTCTGTTAATTGATAGTATTAATGATTTAAAGAGTTTGTTCTGCTAGTACCTGACAAAAAGCCCTTTGTCTTCCAGAAGAATTAAGGTTGAACAACTCTTCTTAAATTGTCAGCTTTTAATTGAAATTGGATTACACCATGCATAAAAAAAAAGCCATCATCCTTTCATTAAAATAAATTAAACGTAGTTGTGATCAATAGTGTTTATTTATTGTGTGTCAGTATTTTTTTATTATGTGGTAGAACTGAATGCACATTTACATATTATCAAAACAGTTGTTTATTTTTTACATCAGAATGAGTACTGACCATTTATTCAAGGTGGATTAGGCTAGAAAGCTAACTCTAATAATGTATTTGAGATTTATTGAAGTAGATACATTAAAGAAAATTATATGGTCAATGTATAGCTGAATTGGTATGAAGCACTACAGGTAAAGACAGCTCTGGAAGAATTAGAATTCAAGTGAAATTATTTCAGTGGATAGAACGTATCAGGCTGTCAGCTGATATATTTTGTAACATAATGACTGAGTAATTTTTAGAAAGAAACTTATGGTGATGCCTTTATTCTCTAGTACAACATGATTTTATAATGGGGTGCAGTTTATTACTTTATTCTTATTTTCAGATTAATTTCTTGGACACATTGGTGCTGATGCAAATTATTTAGCTGAAAAAATGTTACTTGTATGACACTTTTAAAATCTGTTCACAATTTTTCTGTTTACCTCAGACTTTGAACACTGGAGTGTTTAATGAAGTCATATTGTGAAAACTGGAAGATGTGTAAATATATTTGCCACTTGCAGTTGAGAATTTCCTGTCTTTAAGCTGCAGTGTGTGTGTTCATATAATTTATTAATCATTGGAATTAATCTGATGGATAAGACTGCTTCCTAATGAATTCTGTAAACATAGAATATAACTGTGGATATTTGTACTTCAGTGAAAATTATCACTGATGCTGTGTGATGCGTGCTGTGCAAATAGAGATGTTCTTCTGACTTGAAGAGAATGTGATCTTTCTCTCTCATAGGGAAGCTGTCACCATCAGAGCAAGAGCCATTATGTTGCTTACTGTGTTCCTTTGTTGTCTTATTTTGGTTTGGTTTGTATCTTTTAACCTCTCTCATTCTGGAAAAATAAGTTTATGCCACCTGAATTTTGCATCTTTTCTGGAGCTTGCTGTTGCTACAAATATGAGGGAAGTTAGCATCACTAATATTGTATGACTAGTAATGCTTTTGGCCAGCTGATACTGTTCTTGCTAATTTCTTGCTAATTTGGTTCAAAACCTAGACAGATGAGATATGGGCAAATAATGTTGTGTTAGAATAAAAATACTATTTTTAAAATGGGCTGTTAACTGTATATGCATAGGTCAGTAAAAATTGTCCTGTTTCCTTTTTCATCTTCATTCCATATATTATAATGAACAGTGCTTTTAAATGTCTTTGAATTATTAACTGTTATGACGAGTGTGCTGCACACTATAGTGTAATCTCCTGTTTTCTGGATGTTGTGGGGTTCGTTTATTTTTTTAAAACAGTTCATATCAGAAAGTCAACTAACGTCCTGGAATCAAGGGGAATCATGATTTTTTTTTAATATAACATCTATTTCTTCTTATTTTTAGATGTAAAGTATAAGCATTTATAATGATTTCAGATTAACTAACTGAAATTCAACATTTAAATGTCAATATGGTCCTCTTAATGTTGTGAATGTATTCTACATTTAGGAGGTGAGAATGAGAACTGCTTGTGACATGCAGAGTAAGCGCATGATAAATGTAGCTGTAGGTATTTAGAGTTTATGACTTTTAGGTGTTTGCTACTTCCTTTGTGGTATGGATTCTTCCTATTTCTCTTTCCAGCATTCTTCATCTTTTCAATTACACTGCCAGCAAATTTAACTGTCTTAGCCAATTAAGGCTACTAAGTTGAAGAGTTTTCCCCCGAAGTGGACAAAAAACGATCATGCAAACTATTTTGCTGGTCCTGCTCAAGGATGAGAACGTAACAGACTTCGCAGATGGAGAGTGGTGGGGAGAGTATGGAGTGACACTGGTAGTGAAGTTGATGTTTATGGTTTGGCACCAGCTTTGGATTTGTGATGCATATACACTGGTACAGGCTTTTAGCCTGATGCACACAAGGTTTTAGCCCGGGGTGATCAGTGGTAAGACTGCTTAATGCTGTGCCAGTCTTGCTTTGTGTCTATCGAGGTATAAGACAGTCATTTTGGAGTTAGGAAGAGGAGATGCTGAAAGTTGTGCAGGAAGGTGCCCGTGTGCCACTAAACTTTACATATACAAGAGGTTGTTTATGCTTGTGCATGCATGGGGTTGTTTCATAGCACTGGAGCAGGTGGCAGTTATATGTGGCTGTGGTTTGCCTGGAAGATCTGTAAACAGTATATCTCAGGAGCAATGCATTCTTTTACCCTGTAAAATCTTATGCATTACTTCAATCACTTGACTGCCCTAAACATACACGTAACCACACCATCTATTGATGCATGTGTTAGTAACGATTTGTGAATGCAAGCTCGCAGGCGAGTTTTGCACCTCTGGCTGGCCCATTGCAGATCTCAGAAGTGAATGCCTCCCTTATTGACACTTGCCCAACTTGCCTACGCCTTGTTTCTTAGGGAATGCATAAAGTTGCCTGTATGCGGCTTCAAAAACTGTGCTCAGCTGCTTCAGCAGGTTGAGAAGGGTGGTAGCTGAAATTTATATTATGCTTTCTGCTAATAGGTCTTTGGAAAAAAAAAAAGTAGGACTTCCTCTGCAAAAGCTGCAGGACTCTGGGGGTTTGTAGAAATGATGTTGAGAGATGCATGAAACAGACAGCAAGGCTTTGTCAACTAGCAGACAATGTCTTACTCAACTGTGCTACATTTACGAAACATTTTATGAAATTAAAGTGACTGCTTTTTGATCTAGCATTCCACAGCATATCAAGATCAGTGTCGTGAAGCCATTGCTTGTTCATCTAAAATATTGCCTTGGGAGTAGAAAGTATGAATAAAGTTTGGGAAAAAATAATTTTGCTGAGATCTCCTTGGAAGGTGTCAGGATACCAGGATGTTTGCAAGTGAATTGTGTAGCTGTGCAGAGGAGACCAGTGTGCAATGAATAAGCCACATGCAGTTTGTGCTTAGTACCTATTATAAGAAGTCACCTTGGTCATTGATGTGCCTACGTGCTTTGAGGCATAGAAATGAGTTTGAAGTCCCCAAGTGCTTTCCTATTGGAAAACAATGTCTCAAGTTTTGTCCTAGGACAGTAAGCTCTCTTGTTTTAAGTGCTGGACAAACATGTTCCAGCACAATAAAAGACAAATGCCACAAGAAAAGAAAACTCCAGGGGCATGCTACATATGTATGTGTTGGAGTCTGCAAGTGGGAGGTGGTTATAGGCTACAGGTCATCCTTCAGTCCTGGACAGTCTCTGTCTTATCCTTTTACTTTTCATCCAGTATCTGGATGAAAGCTGCTGTGGATGGCTTTTAGAAGTGTGCTAAATCAGATTAATAACCTTGTTAAGGTAGGGTCTTGTTATCTTACTATTAAGAGCATATTGCCAAATCAGATTGGCATTTTTGAGGTGCCACCTAAAAAATGTGTTTGAGGAGCTCTTGAGATAGTAAGAACTGTTTTCCCCTTTCCCGGGGAACTGCAGACTGAGGGAGTTGTTTTCCTGTACAGTACTTCAGGTACATGCAAAAGGCTCTGTATTTAGAGCAGGATGAATTTATCTAAGTTCTGAAGAGGGATACTACAGCCCAGTGCAGAAAAGATGCTTTCATGGACTACAAGCTTCTGATTTACAGTGCAACAGCAATTGGCAAGAGACAGTGTCGTCTGGTGAGCTGTAAATGCCTGGGAGGAAAAGGGGAAATGTACTTTTGGTTTAAAATACTGACCCATGCATTTCCCCACTGACTACGGGCAGCCGTTGTCATATACAATGCTAGCCTTACTCATTTTAGCTAAGTTCAGTGAAATCAAATTGCTGTCTCATTGGTATGAGCTCTTGCCTGATAAAACTTCTTAGGGATAGAAGGGAATGGGCACCTTCCACAGGATGAGAAAGAAGCCTGTGGGTTTGGTGGATGCAAGAGTGATAGACATACGCTGTCACCTTACTCATCAACATCTGGCTCTATTGGCATAATCCTGTTTTATTGAAGACTTAGGAAGGATATGGGTGGGGAAGTTGACTATCAAGCTTTGGTGTGCTTTACTGCTAGACTGTGAATAAAATTCTTCAAAATGTATTTGGATTATGTTGAAAACCTCTAGCAGAATGGGGCAGTGTAGAACAGGGGGATGGCAAGAGCAGTTTGTAACAATGTATGGAACACAGATTGGGCTGGTGCCAAAGGGTACTAGGGCAAAGATGAATGCAAAACCTTCATGCTTATGTAAAAAAAAAAAAGGGGGTGGGGGGTGGGGAGAAGAACACTGTGTAAATGGATTAATCTGTGCAGTTATATAAGCCTCCATATCTGCTGGTGGGAGCAAATTGCTCTGACCATACCTGATGATGGTGGTGTCGGTCTCTGGTGTTCAAATTCTCTGTGACTTTTCTCAGGTCCTGAAAAGCCTATATGACATTGTCCATCCTGCTGTGTAGTATGATTCATCTCCTTGTATTGGGGCGATTTTTCCTTTGGCCTCAGCTTTGTTATTGTTGCTTTTTACTTTCTTCTCATGAACCTGATAATTACTGCTTTAACCTCACACAGATTCAAGTGTATGGTTCCACGTCTAAATTTATTGAGATGGTATTTTGAGGATATCTTGCTATGATCTGAGCAATACCCACCTCAAAGGACGAAGGTCAGTGTGTTGGAATGGTGTAAACCTTCCTTGTGGATATAGCACAGGAGTGCTTAACTTCAAATTTGTTGTGATGCTCGCAGGACTGAAGGACCAATTGGAGGGCTGCTTATCTGCGGAAAAACTGTAGGGTGGTATTTTAGATTCTACAGGTAAGGCAAAAGGAGATGTAGTAAATACTAGTGGCATTATCTTCTGCTGATGAGGTCCTTAAGGATATTAATTGGGCACTAATGGAAATATAAGGTGAACCTGCTGTTAATGGGGAATGGCAACATCTAGGAGAAATTGACAGTGTCATTAAATAGATAAGAAGAGGAAGAAAAGCATCTCAGATCGTATTTAAAAGCCACTGGATTAGACCTAGAGGAGTGCAGCACGCAAATAATCACAGTTATGTGAAAAGGAATGAGAGTGTGATATTGTTCCCAAATCTCAAACAGGCCATACTCTGGAGCAGCTGGTGTAATGGCACCTACTTTCAGACAACTTTGTTCTGCAGCCTCATGATCCAGACCCTTAAGGGGGTTTATCCCTACCCACACATAATGGCTGGTGTCTTTTATTTTGAACAGTTGTAGTAGGAGTCTGTTTCACAAATGCTTTGTTATTCTTCTTGTCCTCTTGTGTAAGTATACTTGTTTTCTGTGGCATCAGTGGAAAAGAAAGTCAGCCTTGCAACCATTTGAAGTTTTTCATAGTGATGTAAGACTAAATAAACAAGTTGTTAGCTGTTGGTAGGAAAGTTAAATGTAAACCGTTTTTGTAAGAATAGTATTTAAATTAATGGGTTGTAAGAGGATTTGCTGATTGAATGCTGTACCCCAGCACCTGAAAAAAATGTAAGAATAATATTTAAATTAATGGCTTATAAGAGGATTTGCTGATTGAATGCTGTACCCCAGCACCTGAAAAAATGCAACTGCAGTGTCAGTATGACCATCCTGTACAATTGTGGTAAGCATTTTGCACTTCTTTTGATGGGAAATCTTTTTAACTTTTAACTTTTTTGCATTACTTTTTGTCTTTTAAAAAGGTGTCTGAAGAGGATTATGCTTAAAAAGGAAGTGTTTATTTTTCCCATGAAAGGATTTGTCTTTTTTGGTGGGAGGGAACAGTTACAGGATAATCCATGTTTAGTTACCTTTTGTAACATACATGAGAAAATCCACTCTTCGTATTGTTCTTAGTTATGGAAATCAGTCTTGCTTTAAAAGCTTGCTTTCTTCTTTGTTCTTGAGAAAACTGGCATACAGAGTAGCACTGTCTTTTATAGTTTATTACTGCAGTGTTATCTACTGGCTACTTGAAAATGTCAGAGTAAGAGCTGATTACAGTGGCAAACTCCTCCATTAAATGTAATGTATGTTGTCCATTTGATGTGTTCAATGAAAGAAGTAGAGAAACTGTAGTGTTTAAAAAAATTTTTTAAAAGTGGGCAAAGCTTAAGCTTAAACATTCAAAATAGTCCTTAGAAGGATTCTGATCCTTGATATTAAGATATTCAAAATCAGTTAGGTAAAACCTCAGTACAAGAATATTTGAATGATGGGAATCATGATTTCTTTTCCTTGAGAAATTTTGTTTCTTTGAGTGTGATCTGACAAGAAATCACAGGAATTTGTATATCTTAACATTAACTTTTTGAAATATATTATCACAAGCTATTCGTTCATGTTTCCTGAATGAATTGTAAATGAAGAGTAGGCGTTTCAAAGCTGCCTGAGAGAGCTGAATTCTTAACTCTCAGAAGAAACTAATAGGAGATAATGTAGGTAATTTGGAATTGTTTCGTATATGAAGAAATAATTTAGGAAGTCTTGTATCAAATCCCCCCCTGCCCTCCTTCTCAGACTGAAAACCCTTCTTTCTCAGCCTCAAGTCACATTGCCTGTAATCTTAAGTGTCTTAATTGCACTGATGTAGATTACAATCGATGCCAAGTTGCTTGAGGAGAAACAAATAGCTGTTAAGCTACTTGCTGGCTCTTTGCATTCTATTTGCGTAGGGAAAACAGTGCTTATAGAAATGCTGTTTGTGGTTTTGTTTTTTTTTTATTTGGCAGGCAGAGTTGCGAGCAGCTGTTTTTTTGGCATTAGAAGAACAAGAGAAAGTAGAGGTAAGAGAAGCTAAAAAAAACCCCAAACAAAACAGCATCCTGATAGTTCTTCCTGTAGAATTAAATATTATAGCTTTAATACTTTATATTTGTGAAATGTAACGAGAAAATTATGTATTACTGCATAAGAGCATGATGCTTAAAGAACGTAAAACAGGACTACCAGGATGTTTCCTGATGTTTAGAAAGAGGAATTGTTCCATAGCATTTTGAAACTGTAGCTTTAAGTAACTATCTCTGCTGGTTTTATATTGCTTCTATCCACAAAAAAAAAAAAAAAAATCTTTTCCATCAAATACTTCTTAAAACCAAAAAAATCTAGGTGACTGATCAAGATTTCATCAAATCGGAATAACATCTTTTGAAATGTGAAGTATTATAGTGGGATTTTTTGACGAGTGCATTGTGAAAGCAATTTAATGCAGTAACTTGCCAAGTATGCTTTTGGTATTTTCATAAGGATGTTGTAGGCTTACTTTAGGATAATTTGCTTTTATTTAAGGAAGAATTCTGAATTAAGAGATAGACTATGTACTGATACCTGATACCTTGACAATGTAGTAGTACTAAGGGTACATGATACTAATGTGATTAACAATACTGCTGTGGTATGCAGACTCTAGTTTTGTGATCCCTTCTGCTGGCATTGCCTTGTTTCCTGTGTCTTTCCATTCTCTAGAACTAGAGAGGAGATGGTGCTGTCTGCCCAGGCTCTCTGTTTCAAAAGAGAGGAATGGAAAACTCTCCTATTCTTCCAGTAGTTAGATGGTTGTGCTTTTTCTGGAAAGTTGCACAAGTGAAACATCTGTTATTGTGACATTAGTAAGGAGGGGAAGTAGTTATTCTATGGTATGAGATTCCATATTCCAGAAATCTAACATAAGATTGCTGAAGAAGACGTAATGGAAGAAAGATATAACAGAACAGTGCCATCTCTTAGGGGAAGGTTCAGCATATTATACTCGGAGAACAACCTCCCGGACTATCTAGAGAGTAATAGGGCTGAAGAGAGATTTGCTACAGTTGATCTCAACTCACCCTTTTTTCAAAAGGCTTAAATGTATCATGATATTTTAATTTTACACTATAGAGACACTGAAAATATATTAACTTATCACTAATCTGAATTCCGAAATACTAAGCAAGATATATTTCTTTTTTCGCACAGCACTTTCTTGTGTGTGTTAGCATTTAAGACTATAGTGATAAATGCCTATAAGAGATCCTTTTCTTCAAGTTAGGTTCTTACCCAGGATATTTTGATATGTTATGAATGGCATTTAGAACTTGGTTTGAAAAATCCCTGAACAATTTTGACGAACCCAAACATAGCACATTGATTTATCTCTGTTTAAAAATCAAAACCGAAGAGGGTGAATCTAACAAGGGAGCAGAAGCATTTTCATAATATCTTTGAAGGTCTTTTAATTAATAGAAGATTAGTATTGATTTGTGAACCACTAATTAGCACGGTCCACGCTTTGTCTAGATGATTTGTAAATTCCCATTTTTCTAAAAAGTGGCACTGAATTTCCTTAAACAAACTTGGCACTATATTAGAGGAGCAATTTGGGAATTTATCTGCTTAACTCTTTAATTATTAAGTAAATAAGATCGGTATGCTATTAAGAATTTTGGTGAAACTGCTCTAGCTCTGTAGCTTTTGTAATAGAAATACTGAGACGATTTTAATTTGCCTAAGTACATGTATGACTCTGCAGCTTTTGCTTGTAGGTAGTAGAATTAATACAGAGGTAGATTTTGAAGAAGTGAATTACATGTGCCAGGCATCATTGTGAAATAGCATACACCAAAACAGCAGCTTGCTATGGTTTTCAATTTCTTGCTAGTACCAGGATGATGTTATTTACTGTTTGGTTTTTGCTTTTTGACAGAACAAAACACCTCTGGTAAATGAAAGCTTGAAAAGTTTTTTAGGTACAAAAGATGGTAAGTTCTTTGTTTAGTATACTTCTCAAAGTAATAAAAATAAGGAACAAAGGATTAAATCTTTGAATCTTTTATTAACAGTACAGTCTTCATGACATAAAGGATGCTTTTGTTCCTGTCAAATGTCATAATTACTGTTCATTCAGAATAGAATTCAATCTGTAATTTTTGAAGTTAATGTTGCTGAGGTTGTATTTTTAACTGAAGTGACTAATGCATTTAAATCAATATTTCATGATGAGTTATGATTATGCTAACTCGGAGCCATTCTAGACCAATAGAAACAGTAAGCAGTGAAAACTCACTGTAGAGGTGCAGCAGCGAATGCACACATAGGAGAAATGCCAAAATGATGTCTTTAAAACAGCTGAATAGTCTAAAAAAAAAAATCTTATAGCTGAATTTTGTAAGCAATCTCTATTTATGCTTCTGCAGTATTGCTGACTTAAATAACTTTGATACGATGGCTGAGTTAGAAATTAGGGAATTGGTATACAAATTAGCTATGTGGTGGTAGTTTGCTGAATGTCTAAATGATGTTTGTAAGAATGTTGAATTAACGTAGATGTTCATACTTAAGCCATGTTAATGTTAATCTTTGAAGTAAGAATTGTTTCCATCTGGTGTATTTTTACTCTTCTCATTTCCTTTTTAGGTCGCTTGGTAGCAGGTCTTGTTGCAGAATTTCTACGGTTTTTCAATCTTGATTTTACGTTGGCTGTTTTTCAGCCTGAATCAAGCACAGTAAGATATACTAGTTACTTATATGCTATGCTGATTTTTTGGAGTGCATGGCAATGAATGCAGAAGCTATAGTAGATTTGTTTAAGCCTCTTACTTGTGTTTATTCTAAATAATTTTTTATATTTAGTCTGTAAAAGGTACTTATTGCCATAAAGTCACACATTCCAGGAAAGTGTGCTAATATGAATGAGTATTCCCTTTATTAAAAACAATGCTTCATAATATGTTAATTGTGAATTAACAAATTAATTATTTTTGTGAAATCATATAACGGTATGTACAACAGGATACTCCTGCAACAGTTTTTGCCAATAATTTTACTATGCTATTGATATTAAGTTAGTATTGTTACATGAAAATTAAAATAATGTCAATAATCTACTCTGAGAGAAATTTCAGTGAAACAAAGGACTTTGTGCAGATGTATGTGACAAAAAGTGATTGAATGGAATAGTTCAGTTGGAAGGGACCTACAATGATCATGTAGTGCAACTGATTGCTTTTAGGCTTTTGATATTGAGTTAGAGGTTTTTCGTCATATTTGTCCCTTTGTCTCTTTTTACAATATAAAGGTTTTAATAATAAATTTGGGTTTGAAACAGTTCCATTTAACTGAAAAATTTCTCTTTACATCTCAAATGCTCATTTTTATTCTCAATGTCAGTTTAAGTAGTTAATTTATTAAAAATCCAACTTCTGTTTCTCAGAAGTTCATGTTTCTTTTTAGAGGCTTAATCAAAGACAATCCCATACACCTTTGTCCTTTGCTGAATGTCCTTAGCTGCATTTATTGCAATAGGACACATCTGTACAAGGGTTCATGTTCATGCTACCAAATAGAAACAGTTGTGCTTTCTGTCATGTTACTGCTCACTCTTGGGAGCAGTGCTTCATTTGCGTTGTAAAGGCATCTCATGCTCTTTGAAATGCCCCCTTCCTTTTTCCAGGAAAAGTGTCTTTTTCAGCTATTGCAGTGCTTATATGAAATTTGGCTAAAGTTAAGCAAGTTGGCCAAGACTACTGTGTATAGTGCTGAAAGATTTTACTTTGTCTTATTCTATTAGCCCCTGTCTCTGAGCAGTCTGTTGGATTATCTTTTTATCCTCCATGTTTCAGTGTGCTTGACTAATGGTGGCTTGCTTCAGTATTTGCTTGACCAGTGTTTTGATAGGAAGTGTCACTAAATAA